GGGTTTCCTCCGGGTACTCCGGTTTCCCCCACAGTCCAAAGACATGCGGTACAGGTGAATTGGGTAACTTTCCGTAGCGTATATAAATAAATTGTATTGCGCCAACTCCGCCAAGTGTTTAATGTAGTAATGAGATATATATATATATATATATATATATATATATATATATATATATATATATATATATATATATATATATGAATAATTTAAACTTATTTAAATTTATAATATATTGTAATGAACAAAAAATGTGTAAAATGTGAAATATTTGGCGACGCGGTGGTGCAGTAAGTAGTGCTGTTGCCTCACTGCAAGAATGTCGCTGGTTCGAGCCCCAGCTGGGCCATTTGGCATTTTCGTGTGGAGTTAGCATGTTCTCCCCACATTCCCACTGAGTTTCCTCCGGGTGCTCTGGTTTACCCCACAGTTCAAAAACATGCGGCATAGGTGAATTGGGTAAGCTAAATTGTCCGTAGTGTATGTGTGTGAATAAGTGTGTATGGGTGTTTCCCATAGATGGGTTGCAGCTGGAAGGGCATCCGCTCCGTAAGACATAAGCTGGATAAGTTGACGGTTCATTCCGCTGTGGCGACCCAAGGTTAATAAAGGGACTTAGCCGAAAAGAAAATGAATAAATGAATGTTAAGTATTTACTTTAATGTTATATACTTTTGTGTAATAAAATAAAATACATATTTAATAAATTACATGCATACCTAAATATTTTACTTTAATTGTCAGTTATGGTAATCATTTACTTCATTACAATAAAATAACAGAAAAATAAAAAAAATAAAAAACTTTTTTTCCACTGTTTTCTGTGGTGACTCTGGATCTACATTTGCCGTGTTTTGTTTATTATCATCTGTTCTTCTCTGTGTCTTCAGAAAGCTCCTCCACTGGTGGCTCGCTGGGTGCCATTCGCTGCTGTCGCTGCTGCAAACTGTGTGAACATCCCAATGATGAGACAGCAGTGAGACTCCTGTTTTTTACCAGCTTTTTTCCTGTCAGTTTTGCAGGTTCAGATATTGGCATATTCAAACTGATTCTGTTCTATGCAGGGAGATTTTGCATGGCATTGCTGTGACAGATGAAGATGGAAATAAACTGGGCCACTCAAGGGTAGGAGACATTTACATTTCAGCTATTACATTAGCAGGTTTACATTTACCCTTGCAATAGATATCATATGTAACTTATCCATGCTTTATTTTGATTGTAAAGAAGAAGCTGTATATATTTCACAATACAAAAGAATACTGTGTGTGTGTGTAGTTATTTGCAAAATACTAGTATTCAGCTTAAAGTGCAATTAAAATGCTTAACTAAGTTCATTAGTTTCACTAGGCAAGTTTGGTTATTTAGGCAAGTCATTGCCTTGTTCTGTAGCCAAAAAAAATGTATATTTATTAAGGGCCTAATAATTGTAAATCCAGTTAAAGTTATAGGGAAAACAGTGGTCCCTCGCTATAACGCAGTTCACGTTTCGTGGCCTCGCAGTTTTGCAGATTTTTTTAGTGCAATTTGACATGCTGTTTTTCTACAGCACATTGTGTTCTGCGTCCTGACTAGCTGTAGGCCAATCAATCTTCTTTTACAGTACAAAATGCGTTCAACTTGCCAAATTTACATAAATCTTTGATTGCTAGCAATGTGACTCTGAAGTGCTGTACTGTATTTTTGCAAGTTTTCTCCCCACAATTTCGATGAAATGTTCTGCACTGTCAAAGGCACCTGCAATAGCACCCAAAAGGCAGAGGAAGATGCTAACCATCGCACAAAAAGTTGAACTTCTGGGGCCTCATGTACGAAGACTTGCGTGGAAATCTTACTAAAACATTGCGTACGCACATTTACAGTGCGTACTGTAAAAAAATTCAGATGTATGAAACACTGCGTATGCAGAATCTCACGCATATTCTTTTGTACATCCGAATGAACGTGAAACTGAGCGAAACATGCACGAACACAAAACCCAACGAAAAAGCAATGGCAAAATCAAGCAAAAAGAGAAAGTTTGAACAGAATGTGAATTGGAGGTGCTGCTTTCGGAGGTAGACCGGAGAAAAGCGGTGTTATTTGCAAGTTTGTATGTATATATATATGTATGTATATATATATATATATATATATATATATATATATATATATATATATATATATATATATATATATATATATATATATATATATATATATATTATAATTTATTTTTTTGCTTCAAATGTACCACCTCCAATATGACCTGAAAAAACAACCCAAAAAATATTCTGTTTCCTTACTAAAAACTATTCTGTTCTGGGTCAGATGGACTTGAATACTGTACCAGTGTCAAAGAGATCTGAATGTGATGAATCTTTTAGTGATGACATTTTATCCAGTAATGCTTTTATTCAAAGTACCTTTAATGATACTTGAATAATGAGAACTCTAGATGTAGAAAAAACAACCAAATATGAAAATTGCAACATTCAATTAAAGCATTTAGTATATAAACTGTGTGTGTGTGTGTGTGTGTGTGTGTGTGTGTGTGTGTGTTTATGACAGAAAGCAGCTGTGAAGGGCATCACACAGGTGGTGATCTCTCGCGTTACCATGGCAGCGCCGGGCATGAGTGAGTGCAGAGTTTGACCAGTGTTTAACCATCAGATCTCAGTGCAGAAATAAAACCGCTGAATCCTGAGCCTTTCTGTCCTCTTTCCAGTCATTCTCCCCATTATTATGCAGAGGCTGGAGAAACACAGATTCATGCAGGTCAGTCTGAAGCTCTCTTGTGTTTAAGAAGCACCCATTGGAACCAACGGAGAAAGGATAGAAGAACTGCTTTATGATTTGCAAGGGTTTCTAGTATGAATTCACTTTCTTGTAACATCTAGTTATTATCAGGGGGGCATAAACATTTATTTTATAATGCTTCTTGATGTTGGCTAATGATCAGATGTGTGTTATATGCACTAATTGTGTTTGTAAATCTAATCTTATCTCATTCCCTTTTTCCTTCTGTTGCAGAAAATCACATTTCTTCATGGGCCGCTGCAAGTCATGATGGTCGGTGTGTTGTAAGTGATTTTGCTTCGCTTTATAAAAATAGCAATAATTAATATGTCAAATATGTTTCAGTAGAGGAAACTTCTGTCTATCTCTGCTTCACAGTTTGATCTTCATGGTTCCTGCGGCGTGTTCACTGTTTCCTCAGAGATGGTAACATTTGCATATACTGTACAGATTATATAGGGGGTTTTAATGCAGTAGTGTCATCAAATATACAGCAGGGAAATAAGTATTAAACATGTCATAATTTTTCTTAGAAAACATATTCCTAAAGGTGCTGTTGACATGAATTTTTCACCAGATGAATGCAACCAAATAAATCCATATATGCAAAGAAAACAATATGACTTAGTTTACAAATTAAGTTATGCATAATCAAGTGAAATGACGCTGAGAAAAGTATTGAACACATGAAGAAAGGGAGGTGTAGAAAGGCAGTGAAAGGCCAGACAGCTGCTGAAATCTTATTCAGCTGAAAGTTATTCAGCAACCATCTGGCCTTTGTCAGTGTAAATTAAAATTCGCTGTTTAAGTACAACATCTACATTATCAGTATGATGAAGCAATTCAATGATCCATAACACACCCAAAGAAACTCGAATGCTTTCAGAGAAAGAAAATTAAGCTGTAGAATGGCCCAGCAAATCACCTGACTTGAATCCAATATAAAATACAAAATAAATATCAAATTTGATAGACAAGACTCAAAGAACCATCAAGATTTTTGCATTCTGTTGAAGTCTGTGAAAAATAAATCACACATAAGCAATGCATATGACTTCATTCTCCATATTAGAGGCGTCTTTAAGCTGCAATCGTTAAAAAAAACTCTTATATAAAGCATTAAATCTATTTCAGTAGTTCAGTTCTCCTTGTGTCATTCCATTGCTGTTACACATAACTTATTTTTCAGATTTCTTTTGTTGTTTTTATGTTTGTATTGTTTGAGTTTTTACCAAACCCTGGTTTAATTCCATGTCAACAGCTCCTTTAGAAATATTATTCACAGAAAAAACATGACGTGTTCAAAACGTATTTTCCCCGCTGTAAGTGCAATAAACCTCCAGAAATGTTGGGGTTTAGTGTTTAAAAAAGTGTTTTATTTGACATGTTCATTATTTTCACTTTGACAATTAACATTTAATTAAATTCAAAAAGAGCTCATAGTTATGTAGCGATAAAATAATTGAGGACTTAATCCTAAATAAACTTTTAATTTAATAATAATTATTATTTTCATTTTGGTGAGGCAGTGGCGCAGTAGGTAGTGCTGTCGCCTCATAGCAAGAAGGTTGCTGGTTTGAACCTCGGCTCAGTTGGCGTTTCTGTGTGGAGTTTACATGTTCTCCCTGCCTTCGCGTGGGTTTCCTCCGGGTGCTCCGGTTTCCCCCACAGTCCAAAGACATGTGGTACAGGTGAATTGGGTAGGCTAAATTGTCCGTAGTGTATGAGTGTGAGTGTGGATGTTTCCCAGAGATGGGTTGCGGCTGGAAGGGCATCCGCTGCGTAAAAACTAGCTGGATAAGTTGCCGGTTCATTACGCTGTGGCGACCCCGGATTAATAAAGAGACTAAGCCGACAAGAAAATGAATGAATGATTGAATTATTTTCATTTTGTCAAATAACATGGTAACTCAGTTAGCAAAATTGCTTCGTTTTATAGTGAAAAAATACTGTTTTAAAAATTTAATTTTATATCAAGTAATTTTATTGTTTAATTTAATAAGTATTTATAATAAAATGTACTTCTACCGAATACAATTATTAATAATAGGTTCACTCCTACCAGTGCTTCCCACACATATACTTTACTTGGGCAGGCCCGCCAGGTATATTAACGGCTGCCCAAGTATATTTGGTGATCATTTGCGATCGATTAACTACTGGAAATTCTTCTCTTGCCCTACACATTTAGACCTGTCAACACTCCCACAGATTCTCATGCTCTGCAGACTTACAGAGATGTGTCTTTTGGGCACTTAAATATATGTCCGGCTGAGGTTTCTAAATGTCTTAAAATGTCTGGAATTCCACTTTCGCTTTCTAAAGATGTCGTTAATCATATGCGTTTTTGCATTACCTTTTTATTTAAGTCTATTTTTGCTTGGATTCACAGTTGACTGTGCGAGAGAAACATTAAATAAATAGCCTAATTCTTTGATAAACGACTCTATATACTTAGAGACCACAAAATGACATATTTACTGGCTGCAAAATATTTGTACACCATTAGAAAGGGTTAATCAACTCATTTGCCTTATGTACATAATCTATACTTTTTATTCTTGCAATTATTATAATTTTAGCACTATTTTTATTCCTTTTTACTGTCATATATTTCTCATTTTGCTATATATTTTATTAATTTGATGATTTTAATATATATTACATACTTTATACATATCTAAAATGCTTTGGCAATCCTGTACAAAATGCCACGCCAATAAAGCAACTTTTATGTTCCGTGAGTAAAAGGTTAGTTTCAGTCCGGCTACCACAGTAAATATATTTCAAACCCATGGGAAGCACTGCCTACTGATAATTATATAGTGGAAACATATTTTTAAAACTTATTTTAATTTTATACGTATTTCATTTTAAAAGTATTTCTAATGAAAATGTTCACCTACTGAATAAACGGATTACTAATGGGTTCACTCCTACTAGTGGAAACATATTTTAAAATCTTATTTCAATTTTATATAATTAATGTTAAATTTAATTCTTTAATTTTAAAAGTATTTCTGATGAAAATGTTCACCTACTGAATAAACGGATTACTAATGGGTTCACTCCTACTAGTGGAAACATATTTTAAAATCTTATTTCAATTTTATATAATTAATGTTAAATTTAATTCTTTAATTTTAAAAGTATTTCTGATAAAAATGTGCTCTTCTCCTACTGAATAAAATTATCAATAATGCATCTATTTAATTTTTTCATTTTATTGTACATACTCATTATTTTCCTAGCTTAGGAAGTATATGTTCTTAGATTTTTGCATCAATAAAAACTTAAATTGTTCAATTTATTTATTTTTAATTATTATTTTAACATGTAAATCAGTTGCTGAGTTTTCAGCTTCTTTAAAAAGTTTAACTTTTAACTTTATAGCATCAACATATTAAAAGTTTGTTGTTAATTTTACATTTGATAATTTCATTCATTCATTTCAAAAATACTTAAATTAAAACGCACTCCTAATAAATAAATGAATTACTAAGTCTTTTTGTTTCGCATCCTCATCACATTCCTAGCTTGATTAGCTTATATTTTTCTCTAGTTACTGCAGCTGCAAAAAAAAAAGAAAACAAGTTGTGCAAAATATTGTGGACTCTGCACTGAAGTAAACTAATCTGTTATTTGTTTATTGATTTTTAGTTCGATGGCTGTGTCAAAACTGGAGCCGGAGCTTAGAGAATCCATCATCTCTCAGTACGGGGAGCAAATCAGTCACGTTTACTTCAACAAGGGCCTGTGAGCGCTGGACACACACACACACACACACATTTTTGTTGATAAGGTTGTTAAAAAGAAGCGTTTTGGTTTGACATTTTGCTTTACGACCCAGAGAGATTTGCTGCAGTAAAGCCTAATATATGAAGAGTTGTTTTACAATTGGCCCTAAATGCTGCCGAGAATCAGTTTGATTTGATAGATAAGTTTTACAGAAAATTTCTGGAGATTGCTTGAACCTGATTTAGTCCTCCTGTCATGTATGATTTACCCTGAATAATTGCAAGCAGATTGTGAAGTTTGAAAGATATTTCCCTCTGATGCCAAACTCCATCTTCATTACCACATACATCTCTCAGAAAGCTGTCATTTTTAAGGTCTGATGCTTTAATGCCTTCTAAAGCCATCGGTTTTAACATGTTCTTAAACTGACAGAAACTTGTCGTGAAATATATATCATGTTTATGTTTGAAATACCAGTTACAAGCATAAAATTGTGAGTCTTTAAAGGGACACATCATCCAAAAATGTAAATTCTGTCATCATCCCTTCAATTGTTATAGATATTTTTTTATAGATATACAGGATATTTCAAAGAATGTTGGAAACTGGTAGGTGTTGACTTCCTTATTTTTTTACTGGTTTCCAACATTCTTCAAAGTATCTTCTTTTGTGTTCAACACAGAAGTTTGTAACCACTTGAAGGTGTGAATGGTGAGGAAACCTTCACTTTTGGATGAATGCTCCATTTAAGGTTCAGGTTTAAAGAGTGTTTTGTGGATGTTGTGTGCCTTGCATTTACATTTAAAAAAAGGAAAGCAAAGATTGATGCGCTCGTAGTCTGACCTCACTGTGAACTATCTGAGTTCTGTACTTGTTTTCATCATTATGAGATGATGAAATGAACAGACAGCTGTCGAAATAAACCCCTGAACTCGTGAGAGTTCAACCAAAGTGGACCTTGTGTTTAATTTATCGTCGCCTGAATTCGCTCTTCATTCCTGCCACATGAGGGCAGTGTCTGATCATTCGAGTTTTTAAAAATGTAAATATGAAAAACTTCTTTCAGATGCTCTATGATATATACTGTAAAAGGCCACAAGAGGAGGTCAGTATTATGATATATACTGTAAAAGGCCACAAGAGGAGGTCAGTATTATGATATATACTGTAAAAGGCCACGAAAGGAGGTCAGTATTATGATATATACTGTAAAAGGCCACGAGAGGAGGTCAGTATTAAATATTATATATATATATATTATATTATATTTTACAATTAAGCTATTTCATTTGCTACATACTACGTACAATAGGGCTGCATAGTATTGAAATTTTTTTTCTTTATATATATATTATAATAATATATATTTATATATATATATATATATATATATTTATTTATATATATATATTTATTTATATATATATATATATATATATATATATATATTATTTTTTTTATATATATATATATTTTATATATATTTATATATTTATATATATATATAATGACTTAACTCTTTTTGCAAAGACTTTAGATTGATTGGGTTGATTTTATAGGGGAGTGAAATATAAATATATTTGTATTTGATTTAATAATACATTTAATAAACAAAATTGTAATAAATAAACAGTGGGGCAAATATTAAAGTAAAATAAACAGTGATTTATGGTTTTCTGTGGAGATTCTAACAGTATTCAGTTACAGAAACTGAATAATCAAATTAATAATGCATATTCTTCATCATAAAAATGGTTTGATAAAATAAATCTTTATTAAACTTATTTGTGCTCAATTGAAATGCTTTGAACTCTCTTAAAATGCTTACATTGTCACAGGCCTTAAAAAACATGCAAATGAGTAACTTTCACTCTATTATGCTTAAATTCTGCAGGATCTCTTCAAGTCTCTTGTGTTTTGACCGGTGGTACCTGATCGTCTATAATCCTAACTCAACATTGCATATATTGAGATGGGATTATTGCGGACACACACATTGCGATATTGATGATTTGTGCAGCTCTATTATATATTGTATTTGCTTGGTTACACTTATTAATGCAACATAAAAAAATATTTGTATATATGAATTTATAATACAAGTAATTTAATATATTGGGTTCAATGGTTCAACCTTTGCCTTGATTTACTGAACATGATTTACAGCCAATAAAATGTCATTCAGTGTTACACTAGTTCATTAAATAGCTCAAATAATTGTCAGGCGTATTTACAAGTATTATACTTGGTCGCTATCCTTTAAACCACTGGATTTTTCAACATTTTGAATAATATATTTGTAAAATGTATTGTTATATTATATTTAAAAAATAAAATGTAGCATGTTCTCTTGGTTTTATGTATATACAATTGAAGTCCAGGTGGTTCATTCTGCTGTGGTGACCCCTAATAAATAAGGGACTAAGCTGAATGAATGGATGAATTGAAGCCCAAATTATTAGTCCTCATGTTAAACTTTCATTCATTATTAATTTCAGTGAATTTGAACAGACCAAGGCCATTTTCACAATATTTTCTATAATAGTTCTTCTTCTCGTAAAGTCTTGCACTTGCAATTCACACTGAATACTAGTATCTTCCAAAATATGACCTAAAATAATATGTTCTGCCGCCATGACAAAGACAAAAGAAATGAGTTATTAGAAATTAGTTATTACAACTATTATGTTTAGAAATGTGTTGAAAAGTATCTCTCGGCTAAACGGCACTTAGGGATTTTTTTCTAAAAACTACCAATTTTACGCAGGAGACTTCAACTGTGTAATAATATAGGTCAGAATAAATATTTAGTTTTATTTATACATCTGTTAGACTGAACATTATTTCACGCATTTGAAGTTTTCACAAAATCTTCTTAAACCTTTGAAGCATACATTTGGACCGAATAATTATTCATTGAAAATAAAGTGACTTTTATAAATGTAATGTGACCACCAAAATGACTCATAAATAAATATGCGCAGACTTAAAAGCATTAATGGGACCAGCTGATGTAGTTTAATATTTTTTTATTTGGTAATACTGTATATTTATCCGTCAAGTGAACGTCGACATGAGAATTACACAAAGCATCAAAGACATGCATAGTCTGCTTCTTCTACCACAGCTTTTGTCATGTGGTTCAGACACTAGGTCTCACATTCCTGCTCTTTTTCAGCAAATCATGAAAGAGAAAGACAAAAGACTGGTAAAAAATAACACAATGATCATATAAATCAAAGGTAATAACGCATTTTAAAAAGTATAAACGTGAAAAACAAAATCAATTAACTTACGCCATTAGAGTTCAATAACAATTAATACAAAGCCATTTAAGTAGTTATAGCTCGATGCATATTAAACATTAACCTTTATATAGCCTATTCGTCCAAGCTTGTTTATGACAATGCTTCTGGTGTGAAGAAGAGAAGTGAGGATACTGAATCAAAAATCTTAATTTAAATCACACACAAAAAAGCGTTGTACGTTAATGCTGGAACACTGACAGCCAAAACGGAAAGGTGTGAATTGAACAATTACTTATTAAAGGGATTGTTCACCCAAACATATTTACTGACCCTTAAGTGCTTCCAAAATACTGTAGAGTTTCCAAAATGTTGTTAAAATACCTTCTTCTGGGGTCAAGAGAAGAAAGAAACTCGAACAGTTTTGGAATAAGTGAAAGGTTAGTAAGTTATGATAGAATTAACATTAATGGGTGGACTGTCCCTTTAAGAATGCTCCCTTTGTCAATACAAATGATCTCGGTGTTGAGTTTATACAATGATAGCGACGCATTAAATCGATCAACACTTTTATTGTTGCTTTCGTCAGTTCAACAGCGCTTTTCACTCCCTGTCTCTCAATCACTATAACCACATGGTTCACTCTGGCGAAGCGCCTAGCAACTAGTATTCAAACGCCTCGCCCTCAGTCAATCACATGACTTGGCAATGCCCAATCAGAGGACAGCTGCAACAATCCAACTCCATGCCTTCCTCTCAAGCCGCCAATAAACTCCTGAGTTTATTGACAGCACAGGAGGAAGGAACATCGCTCTTTGTTTCCTCTTCCTCAGCGCATGCTTAGAGGCCTGTGCTTTTGCATGCCAATCCAATCAGCCTTGTTTTACTACAGGGGAAAAACCAAGGGTCTTCCCATTACCATGGCAACTAAAGTCTCGGGTACCTCCTCGGTACGTAAATGACACAATACAGAAGATAAAAAAGGAACTTAGATAATTGTAAGTCGTAAAGTAAAACAAGAACAAATTAAAATGAGTTACAAAAAAAAAAAAAGAAAAGAAAAGAGGAGACAGTCCTCTTGGTTTTGTCTTTAAAAAGTGCAAATAGTATCACTGAACTATTAACGGAGGAATAAATGCACAAATTGTGGGCGTTCGAGACTAAGTATATATACAGACATATTGACAAAACAAATTAGGGATGGTTTATTTATAAATGTACGTAAAAACGTTGAATTTGTTGTATATTGCTAACACTAGAAACTGCTGTCAGATTATGAATCCTTAATTTTTTCAGGGGGTATACACGAAGGATGTGTTGTGAAAAGCAGTGGAGGTGAAATGAAGAACAGCTTCATATACAACAGTTCTGAAATTTGGTCAGCAGCACAATTTTGTTTCCGTCACAAATTCCTGACTAGCGACATTAACTTTGGTCTTTAATTTGCTTTTCCCTAAACCCCAGTTCTTTCCAGGTCCCCGCACATCTTTGAACTATCTGGGAAGTCCTGCCTCACCATTTATCTGAGTGGACCAATTGGCATGGCTTTGGGGAAATTACGCTACCTTCAAAAGTAATACTTTCACTACCACCCCATGTGGGTTTGAACTGGATTACCAGAAATTGAAAATACCAAATGAGCTGAGCGACTGCAGTTTTGGGAGATTGTAAAGAGATCCTTTGTGCAGAGAGAAATCTAAGCGCTGTTTTGGGGGGCAGAAAGTGCTCTCGTTTTAAAGGATTGTCCCACACCCGATGGAGAGCCAGCCTTGGGTGGGGTTGTTACATTCGCTTCATTCTGTCTCATGTTGCGATATCTAAAGAAGACTGTACACTAAATCTAGCCTGTTTCAATTTGGTAGAGTTTTGTCTTTATGCCGATATTATGTTACACCTCATCTATGATTTTTGTAAGAATCTCAGATCGGGTGATGTGGAGAAGGGAGAGAGAGATGTTTTAAGGGTCTTCCACATCCAGAAACTCTTTTTTGGGAGGCGCGACTCCGCGGTACCAGGCGCAGGAGCCGTCTCCTCTCTTGATGCAGGCGTAGTGGTCAGACTGGCGCCCATGAATTATCTTCTCCGTCACCCAATCTGTCCACAGACACTCCTCTGGGGCGCTGATCTCGCATGGGAAGGTCGCACAGCGTGTGATCTGGGTTAAGCAAAAACAATGTTTGTAAACTGGGTGTGATACTGGGTCTGTTTTTTGTTTTAAAGCATCACGTGAGGTTGGCTAAATGAAATGTGCAAATGCTACATATATTATAACAAGGTAAATACTACTTGGGTAAAGTGCAAGTAGTGTGTGTTGACATCTAAAAATGCAGAAAGATTTGAGGTGTCATATTTATGCATAGTACATTTACATTTAGTCATTTAGCAGACGCTTTTATCCAAAGCGACTTACAAATGAGGACAAGGAAGCAATTTACACAACTAAGAGCAACAATGAATAAGTGCTATAGGCAAGTTTCAGGTCTGTAAAGTCTAAGAAGGGGAAGTATTAGTAGTATTAGTAATTTATTATTATTTTTTTTTGTACAGTTAGTGTGATATTTAAAGAGGCAATTGCAGATTAGGAAGTGAAGTGGAGACTAAATAGTTGAGTTTTTAGTCGTTTCTTGAAAGAAGCGAGTGACTCTGCTGTTCTGATGCAGTTAGGGAGTTCATTCCACCAACTGGGCAGATTGAGCGTGAGCGTTCGCGAA